TTATTATTACTCTCAGAATTAAATGTTATTAAAGATATCTAATACATTTGTGTTGTCTTGACAAGGCGGCTTAGAGCTCTCTGAAAATCCAGAGGAATGTGGCTAGGAGGACCCTGTGAAAAGAAACATCATAAAGCTGTGTCCAATGCTGAACCATCCAATGATATATGTATAGGACAGGTGGGCTCCAGTGCATCTGTAGTCTTTTCTCCCCAAGACCATGGGTTCAAGTTCACTGTTCATCACCCAAAGGAAGATCCACCAATGAAGGACCTGCAGGGTGGGTACCAGAACTATACAGTACCTGGTAACACCCTCAACCAATCACCAGCTATGATGTCTCATCTTAAAAGCTAGGACTCAACTCATTTTTGGTTGGTTAACTCACTGGCTCCTCTTCTCTCCCCAACTAAACTAGAAATCTTACTTTTCCAAACATGTGACTGCAAGTAGTCCCAGTCAGGGACTAATTTAAAAATAATTTCACTAGGTACTTTTTTTATACAAAGTCTTTTTTTCAAGAAATAGCTATCCTTGGAGATGGATCCTTGGATCAATCATCTGCTAACACCCAGAGCAACTGGGTGAGACAAATAGCTAAATCTTATCTGCACCCTTTCTTATACTCATACAGTATGTACTGTATGTGAAAATAAGCGAATCCCACAGTTACTGTATATTACAGGTATACAATTGATAACAAGAGTCTCTGAGTGATATTGGTGGTTTTAGTCTCAAATAACCCATAGATGACATTTTTACGAGGCTTCTATCTCTTATACATTTTTATAGCTTTTTATTATTTGTAGTTCATGCTTATGCTGAAAAGCTGAAACTCAGAGGGTTTCTTATTTTTTTTCCCAATAGGACCAAGAAAAACATATCATTACTTGCAGTTCACTAAAATGTTATTTTTGTGCAGGCTGGAATCCACAAATACAGATATAGCTAGAACTAATTTCGTTTTGGAAAAGTCACAGCTTTCAGCTATATACACAGAAACTCTCCACAGACAGTGGTTTTCTTCTAGATGTGTGTGAAATATTATTCTCTGTAAAGTCAAAACTCCTGACACACTAAAGATTTAAATTCCCTTTCAAATAAAATGATGTGGTGAACTGAACAGTGGTTTGTGTATGTATGATAGTGAACATGATCAGTAACATCAGTCATTTTTTTCTTCTAATAATATGTACAATATAGAACCATTTTACAATTTATGTCACATGCAAAATTATAGCTGTTTCTTGAGGTTGTCTGTAGACTTGAATCATATCTAACTGTAAAGTATCTGTTATTTTCCAGTTTTTCAATTTAAGAAAACGTGGTACTGTATCTACAACCCTAATCAAAGAGCACACTTACAAATGTCAATTGCATACTGTAATTATTATAGTTACATTTTTTAAGAGGACAGTGATATTTCCAAGATTTGGAAAATAACATATTTTTTCACTAAAGAATGCCTAATTTTAATATACTGCTATTTTGTTTGTATTTAGAAATCTGCAGTAACTGATAAATTTTCTGGCTCATCAGAATTCCCTGTTAAAAAAGTATCTCTATTAAGAGGCATTTAACATGCTTGGATACACAAGTGAAAACCTGGACAAGTTGGAAACAAAATCCGGCCTTGCATCTGAGCCAGCATTTTAATCTTATTAAATCCTGTCTCTGTGTCATATGGCCAGGAGGGTTAGTGTTTTTAGTTTCTAGTACGTATATCTCAATAAGACCCAGGCCGGGCACTTTTTTATCCAGTATGAATCAAAGTCTAGTGAAATTGCACAAGGATTTCTTTTTTTTTTGCCAGTAGGACCAGTTTCAACCAGTTTACCATTTTCAGCTATTTTCTTCCCGAAAGTTTCTAAAATACATGTAATAGTGAAGGACTGAATCAAGTACTAAGATAAATATACACAAAATCTAGCATATAGAAACTCATAAGAAAAAACTCCAGCTTATATAGTTGATCTACATTACTAAGTAGGTCTATTTAAAATACAAATAACCAGCAACTGGACAAATATTAGTAGTTTGCAGCCAAAAGGTGGTTAACTATTATTTTCTTGGTTGAGGCAGTATAGCACATGGCGCACTAAAATGCTGAAGCAAATGAAAAATGTTCACTTCACTTTCTTTGGTACGGAGTGAGATTTGGAACCATGGAAAACTGTTTAGTTTCAGCTGAGTCTCTCCCATCTATCTTCTCTTATTTACAGTTTGCCTGTTCAGTTTTGTTGCTCCATCAAATATGTCTACACACAGTCTGATGCTATAGTGCACCAATTCTTTTTCCTCCTGTTGCTTGTTCATTAGATTCAAGAAGCATGTGGAGAACTGGTGTAAATGTTACACTCTACTTATATACAGTATACTTACTTTAACTTAAACGTGCACCTCATTTATTTATAAGTTAATTGTTGCTTTTTTTTTTGCTTACATGCCAGTGTTGTGTAATATCTGCACATAAATGTATCAGGCTTACAATGTCATTTCCTATGCAAAAGTAAAGTCTTGTCTTTTACTTTTGAAGAAGTAGGACGTCCGATCCCCAGTGTCAAAATTCTTCATGACTGCATCAATGAGTGATGTCCTGTAACATTGTCTGTTACAGTCAAATTAGCGTTCATTTATCATCATGATGCCCAGAGGAAATACAGCATAGTTTTAACATCTTGCAAATAATGTTTTCACCTCAGAGGTAATGCTTAGCACAGATGTGGTCTGAAATCAATCCCCCTAGAACAGAAGTTCCCAAGCCTGAGTAATGTTAAATTGGTCCATACAAGCTTTGATTAGACTAGTTTAACCGCAAAGAGCTTATGATTTAAAAAAATCTGTTCTCAGGACACTTGCAGAAAGATTATGTTGCAAGAGGCTCTGGTCTTTTTTATAATTTGGTACAAGGAAATTAAAATTACATATCACTTGTACAGTATGTCACACAAGATACTGGTGCAGAAAGTTACACACACAACTCTACTGAAAATAATTAAAATCTTTTAAATTAAGTTCTCAATCACTTTCTCTTGAGGGCATGTCTTATTGTAATGAATTTACAACTCAAAATGCACAAAAAAAATGTTAAAAGTGCAACACAATTGGATTGGAACCAATAATATTTGCTAAGATATTAGTGTCTCTAAATGTATTTTAGAAACAAACAAAAGATACACAGGATAATCAAATCATTATATTACATTTTTTTGTTTTGAGAAATGTGCTTTTTTATATACTGTATTTCAAACCGCTATGAGATGATAACTTTTTAATTCACCATATAAAATTATGATTATTATTACCACCATTGCCATACTTAACACGTACTGTATAGTACAAACACTTCTTTTAGTGTATTCTGAGAAAGGGGATTCCTCAGAAGTGTACATGTTCTGTAAATGCTCCACAGTAAATAACTGAAATGACACATTACTATGGAGTTCCACACGTAACACTCTTTAAACCAGAATACATTTAAATGTATTTTCTGAGCAGAAGAATAATCATAACCATCACTTGTGCATTTAAATCATTCTAAAACATTATTATGGTTTTATAGTGATAGGAAATGTCTAATGTGTGTCATTTCATTAGACAGCGAACCTCTGCTTCATTTTAAAACTCAATATTAGCTGTACCAAAATCTCTCTTGCTCTATTCCAGGCTTCATTAAGGACTTCAAAATCACCTTCAAGGTAAGATGCACTCCTGTAATAAATGAAATGTAATAGTCATTCTCAGAGGGCTGTCTCCTTGTATTATATGTGGACGAGAGGGTAGGTGGATCCATGTGGCCTGCATATTTTAAGAGCTCAGTCTGTGAACTGTAAAAATAGAGTATTCAGGAAGAGCAGGGTTTATTCTGAAGGAAATTGCAGGCAGGACTTCATTTACAGGAAAATGTGAAAACCCATGGTGAAATGTTTAAGGGACACATAGATATTTCATGAACAAGCTTCTTAAGTCTTCTATAGGCTTTTTCATATAATTTTGTGATGTCAAGTTTGCCTTTCTATTTACATTTTTAGGGAGCTTAAGTAATGTTGCACCTGAAGAAAAAAAAAGAGAAACTTCATCATAAAAGGCTCCTTTATCTGCTAGGTGCACAAAATGTGCACATAATGATCGATGATAATATAATTTTTATGTGGTTATCACATTGAGTACTGATACTTAAATATTTGAATAAACAAAAATCATTGTCTACCAAATATACCTGTATAACGCATGAATGTGTGCTGAAGAAAATAATTAAAAGACACAGTAGCATTGAACTACATACAATATATTTGGTACAGTATGTTGAACATTTGGAGTATGGGTTTAATATTTCCATGCTATGGATGTACTGTATGGAAAGTTCCACTTTTACCTCTTTATTTAAGTACCTCTGAACGTACTGTATCTTCTGTTGCAGTTATTATGGCACCAAAATCAATGATCTGCAGTACATACAGTATAGTATACTGGAAGTTATGAATAGTTATTAATTGTATGTTATTTAAAAACACATATACAGATACAGATATAGTAAGGTGCATAAGGTTAAAACAAGGTGAAGGATTTAGACTTTCAATTAGTTATATACAGAGAATTACAAGAACCGCGACAGAATCAAGGTCTGATGAGCAGTTTGTTTCTGCTCCTCGTGTCTTGCACTCTAATTAAAATTAGGGACAAACTCTAATCCAGCCCGTTATTGGTGGTTTCATTATTTATATCTATAATTCCATCCATGTTTGCCTGTGGCTCAGAGGATTAACTGCAGGATCCCTTTGATAACCTTGAAAGTGCTACATACTGTATCAAGGTATTAGACCTCTCCAAGATGCTGAATTGCTATAGTGAATACCTTGCTCTACAGTGTCTGCACCATATGACCTTCTTACAGCTACTGTATCTGCACCACGATAGTTAAGATACCTTGTTATGGACACTTCCCATAACTCTGTAAGAACAGTCTTGAACTGCTATTCCAGAAAGTCATAGTTCTTTACCTGTTATATAGCAGAATATCTGGCACCCAGATCTGATTTGAGGGAAACCGCAGATTTTGCACTCCGGGGTTGTGTTCTGTGTTCCAAGACAGGTACACATCCGTCCAATGCTGTCGACAAAGACAGAATGAAACCAGGAATATAGTTAATACTCTATATTAATGATGAGTGATGAGAAACATCTTCTACAGTATATAGCAAATCACAATTTTGACCCAGTAAAATAGTATCTTTCAATCTTTATTGGTACTGTAAAAGTCTCCATGAAGTACTGGATGTGATGTCATATGTCATAGTCTTTCCCTTACAACAGGGTAAACTTTAAATATGAAATTAAAATTCAATATAAGGCATCTTAATTATTCAAGGAAATGTGGGCTCTGCTTATTTGGTAACAAAGGAATGGGCATAACAGGGTTAGTTCAGAAATCTAAATATCAAACCTGTGAGTACTACTCAGAAATACATACGAGTTTTCACAAATACATGAACATTTTATCCTGTTTCCCCTGATTAGAAGCGATAAAAAATTCCTGAAGGAGAGATCTCAGATTCGAATTGGCCATCCAGAACCCCCAAAGAGGAGACTTTGGAATATCTTTGCCTAAGATGGATAAATAGGGCAAGCCACGGACCACAATTTGGAAGTTAGGCTTAGAGGCAGAAGTTAGGCCCATAAAGTTAGGCCAGCAAGGACTGAAGACAGGCCAAGGGATGTCAAGACCCGAGGAAGCCAGTACACCAAGGAGAAGGCATAGGAAACAGCTCAACCAGGCCTGTGAAGCAAAGTCCGATATGCTGCTTCACCCTCTCCAGCCAGCCCTCTACTTAATTAAATTAGCCTTTCACAGCAATGCTGGATCAGCTCCTGACAGGTCACACAGCTTTTCTCATTAACGAATCCCCACGGGTCAGGTGATGTCTACTTCTCCACTATCCATAATATAAGCAATAGGAACACAAAAAGATTTCCTAGTTTGCACACTTTCTAAGGGAATAGCTCACATTTACCTTGCGCTTGGGTTCAGTCCTTGATAGGAACAACATAAAATGTCTATCTTGGTAAGAATTTGATGTAACTTTTTTTACTTTTACCTCAAATTAGAATTTGAGTGTAGTACCATAACCAGATTTGTATGTCAGTGCACTACATCCTCATAAAAAAACATTTTTTCTACTTCCTTTTTCTTTTTCAGCATGGAATTAACTTCTTCCTTCCAAGTTTATTATTTGCGTTATATTATTTAATTGATTCAGCTCCCAAATGAAGAAGGAATAAAAGCTTTGCTTTGTTAATATCACACACTGTCTGTTTGTGCTTGTTAATTCACTGCTCTGCAATTTCTCTCTCGAGTCCGTGAGGTGTTTTAAACACTTTCCTATTAGTTGCTTGCTGTTGAGTCAACAGTATTTATTCTAAATTCATTAGAGGCATCAACCATTTGCTTTGCCAGTTTTTGTTCTGTGCGTAATGATGAGGATTCAATATGTATAAGGTTTGATGTTTCAAAACCAATTAAGAATGACATTCTATGCTGTTAATATATTAAGTACCCGATTTTGTACGCTTTAATTATTTTCTCAGAAAACAATTGTCTGGATGCTGTACTGTTCTAATTCTTCCTTAACACAGCTGTTATTCCCTCCCTTGTAGCCTTTTCCCCTGCCTGGTTCCTTCACACCTCGTAAAGTGGACAATCAACAGAATGCATCAAGAAGAGTAGCAAAGACAGAAAACACATTTGGCTTCAGGCAATTAGTTTTTACGGACTACTGTCAACAGAGCATGTGCAGTGTAAACATAAAATGATACTACTAGTAGTAATACTGTAATTCATTAATTTAAGCTCTATTAACTTTAAATAGCATTTTATGCAATTAAGTGCTAGATTTAAAATAGTGTCAATACAAATAGACTCCACAAATATATGCTGTAGATACAGATAAAGGATACAGGGATCCCTGGGACGGCTAGTGACACTAGTGATGACAGAAAGCAAAGCATTTCACCTGATTCCAGGGTCCAAAGTTTAAATTTTTTCACAGACCATGTTAAAACGGAATATAAGAAAACGTTCCTTGAAGAAAATGCTGAATTTTGGTGAAGAAAAGCTGAAGAAAAGTCAGGTCACTGCACAGAGAAATTGTAATCAACTCTCAGCGTGATGAGGAAGAAGTCCCATTCACTTCTGAGCTGTGCTGAGTAAATTGCTCTGATGGACACAGGGCATTCTCAAAGACGCAGCTGTACGACTTCATCCCTGTAAGTGGACTCATCATCATCACTGATCAGTCCTATTATATTGAGATTGGCGAACACATTTAGCCATCCTACCATCTACTGTACCTCTTTATGATTTCTTATCTATTGCACATCTCCTGTCATTGTTTACAAGTCTGTATTGTTTACATTCAAACTGTCTACATGTTTACTTGCACATTGTCTACTGTTTGTTTGTATATTGTCTTGATGCACTGTTTGCACTTTGTTTTGTTTTTTACACTTGTATTATAATCGAGAGACTTTCTGTAAGTAAGAGTTCCATTGTACTAGTACCGGTTACATATGGCAATAAAGTTCAAGTTCAAATTCAAGACCACTCTGTGATACTGGCATCCTCCCAAGCATAATCCAGTAATTAGTAGCGACCAGAGTTTTTAAAGATATAAAAATATGTGGTGTTGTGATTGTGACCGTTTAAACAAAGACACACCAGCTCTTTGTCTACAACCAAGGTCATGGTATACAAAGAGACTGTTGCAGTGATGCTACTCCAGACTATAAAAATGGAGTGTGCCAGGGGTTTGGTCATTTGGAGCAGTAGAATTGCTGTTTTTTATGAGTGTTACAGTTTTGACGCTTAAGAATGTCCCTTGATAGTAGTTTAAATCTGAATTTGCTACAGATCCATCATTTAACAATCCAAATGTTAACGAGTCTTTCTGTCCCACAAAAAGTATGAAACTCAGAGGTATATTAAAATGGAGGGCTAATAACAACTTCACACTTTCATGCATAATCTGGAACGTTTCCAATTGCTTTCTATACAAGTTTATAATGACATAGTTCAATAAGTAACGCAACCTAAAAACCATCCCAGATTATAGCAGGAACGTTTCTGTAAGATAGTGGCAAATGCTATGGAGTCTGATATATTGAAAAATGTTATCTGTAAAATGTTATTCCGGCACCACAAAAATATTTCAGCAACTATCAATGTGTTTTTCACGCTACAGGTAGTTTAAAAAATAACACTATAGTTTTACTTTTACAAACTGTGTAAAAAACGAACCAGGGAGCAAAGACTTTGATGGATCAGTCCCATGAAAAGAAAACAGTGACGAATGGCACAGCTGTGCAAAGACAACAGCCAGTATATAATTGTTTTTTTTTTTGTTGTTGTTCTTGTAGTCTAGAAGAGGTATTTTAGTTGAGTTAAAGAAATGGGGAAAAAAAGAAAAAAACTGTTCACCCCAACTGGTGCTGAAACACTTAAGCCAAAGGCTGCTGTTAGTGAGAATGGACATTCTTTAGAGGTTTGTCGAAATAAGCATATCCACAGAGTTAGCAAACTGGAATCTGTTGCTTTATTATTCTTCTTGCCCCCGCTCTAATGAACAACAGCCAATTGTTTAAGAAAAGCAAAGGCCTCATTGATTTAACTATAGTATAAAGAGACTGCTTTTTCCTGTACATGGAAAGGTTTGACTTGGACATACACATCTTTGAACACATTAGACTTCTATGTAGTTTTGCAAAGTACAAAAACATCGCAAGCCAACATTCTTTCAAAGGTATGCAAACTTTTGTACCATACACGTTTGTTCATTTAGAGTGGGTGTGTGCTGGTTACAGAAAATACTGCACTCCATCCATGCACTTATTGTTGCTTTATCCAATTCAGGATATTGGGGGTGCCGAAGCCTATCCTGGCAAGCAACAGGCCAAGGCTGAATACACCCATCGCAGGGCACACACAGACACACACTTTTACCTACTGTAGGGCCAAACGTGGGTACAAAAACACTGCATCAGCAAATTAAAAGCAAAGTCAAACATCTTTGCCCTTTCTTTACAGCGGCACCACAAAAATACTTTGTTAAACAACTAGAATCATTGTCACTGACCTCATTTGACTTAATTGTTTTCAACAGTAGACCAACAGTAGACTCTTGTGGATTTATACCATTTCAGCAGGCTTCTTGAAATTTACAATTTAAATTACATTTTTTAGCTTTGACAGGTTACTGATTATTCAGTATATGGCCTTTAACTAATCAGAAACATGATAATAATATGTGCCAAGGACTAGAAATTATGGGCCTTATCAAAAGTCTTTATTTTGTGTGTGTGAAGGGGCTATAATAATTGCAAAGGCACTGGTCAGAAATTGGCAAAAGCTTACCAGCTGCAGCCACGCATTGGTCACCAGGACCTGATTCTTCTCATCCTGGAAAGAAAAAGAAAACAGCCCCTTTGAAACTCAAACAGAATTTGAAATGAAACTGCAGCAATTTACATTAAGATACCATTGTGCTTCCACATCATCTTGAACCATTAAAGGGACCACATGCTCTACATATGAAATGATGAATAGTAATAACTTAATGCGAAATTATTTTTAACCTTGAAAACTCGAAAAGTAACACTTGTTTTGTTTTTTGATTGCCTGGGCGCTTGAACAGGTGTATGCCCATTTTTCCATGCAAAGACACACTGAAGGTGTCAGCAGATATACTGTAGATTAGGTTTAACCGCAATTGGAAGGGGTGATCTTTAACTCAGAGGAAAAAGAAAAATCCAAATAGCCTTTTTGCCAAAAAAATTTAGTAAATGTTCCTTTATATCATGAGGAAAACAAAACAGTTCCAAAAGAAGAGAGAATGGGGCAAATGAGTGAAATGAAAATGAAAGCAATGAATGACTTTTACTTCTTTACCCATTCTGCCCCAAATTAAAGTACACTTGGCAGGGTATCTGCAGACTGGAGCCATAGTTTTTTCATAGTTTTATCACAGCATCCTGTGATTAATCCTGCCTTCACTGTGCTTTACTGCAATACACTCGAACATAAGAATGCCGTGATAATCAATGATAAAGATCTTAAGCTATTGTTTACTTCAGCGCTCTGCACTCTTCAGCAAATTCATATTTAAACCATAGAAACCCATGTCATGATACAAATGTGGTTTTAATATGTCTCCATAAGCAGATGTCTGGCATTTTTTACTGTGAAAATTACAAGGTTAATTGAAGAGCCCTGAATATTATCCCAACATTACATGATAATACAGAGAAAGAAAGCTTTATTTACCAAAAATGTCGACCAAATCTATTGATTTCCTTAAAGTTATGTATTGGGGCAGGGCACAGCAGGAAATACCAACAGGTGCTTTTAGGGATCCACACTGATAATCGCAAACTGCAGTACTTCAGGAAGCTTCCCAGCAACAAAGATTTTAAGGACACCAGATGGGCTTATTGACATGGTGCCAAGTGCGTTTGTATGACTCTGAGTTCTCAGAATTTGTGTTTTTATTATTGTTTATAACAATAAACAGTCATTTCCTGCTTTTCACGTTCATATGTACCGTATAACAGAATTCAGCCATGTTGAATAATACAACATGATAAGCAGAAATATGATTTTTTTTTGTTGTTGTGTGCTTTAAACTGCATGGAGCTAGCTGGAATAACAATGAATTTTATTATTCATTAGGAATGAATTAAACATAAGCAGCAGAAAGAGAAATGGCTGGGATTCCACTGTGTGAGAAGAAATGTAGTGAACTAAAGGCTGAAAGCACAAAACTTAATTCATTTTAATTCATCAAAAAGGATTTTAGAAAGGCCAAGACAGAGGGATAAAAACATAAATAATCAAAGGGCTGCAAGAGTAAAGGAACAATCAATGATTAAGTAACATACATGAGGGACAATAATGGGGAAAATCTAGACAACGAAAGGGAAATAGCTAATGTACTAACTGACTATTTCACTGAGGTGTTCAAGAAGGAAGGAGTGAGGGGCCTCAGGTAGGGATGGGTGAATGGGTACAATTCTGTATTAAAAAGTATAAAAAAGGCAGTGTTTGTGCACAAGAAGTCCTGAAGATTATTACATTCACAGAGCCCAAAGGTATCTCAAGGAAACAAGAGACATTACTCAGAATCCATTGGTGTAACTATTTCAACAGCTGTCCAAGACATTTAGTACAATAATATTGTAGCGTTGGTACAGTAGCATCGCTCAGACCTTATCGACTCTCTTCTTAACTTTCATGAGCACAACGACAGTATGTATCTACGTACACTTTTCCAGCCTGTAACCACTCTTAGAAGAAGCAGTAACATTTGAATATTAAAAGGAATTTTCTCCAGTGGTTAAATCTACCGTACGCTTTATTCAAAGTTACTCTAAATGCTGTCTTGCATATGAAATTAATATATTTAATCTCCACAGGCACACAATGCTTAACTCATAGCAGTTTATACATATGCAATACCATTTTTTCAAATAAACAGAGTCTTGCTGTCTGGTGAATTTATCTTTAAAAAGTAGATCTTCATTTGCAAATGGCGCCCTGTACCCACTGCATACCGAGAGTAAAGTCATTCTGTAATTTGACTGTTTGAGGTCATGAAAAAAGTGTAGTATTGGAAAAAGAGATTTTTCATATCAATAACAGCTTTAGAGGTAGGTAATGTATATTGGTGAAAAACAGCCATTAGACGCATTTACTGTATGACTAAAAGAAGTTGGTTGCTTTCAAGACAGACAGGGAATTTATAGTATTTATAGTAGTTGTGACTACTATAAATAGTAATATGCATGCAAGTGGATACTGCACTTTAGAAGTGGATATATGGATCACTTCCTGTGTGCTCTGAGATCCTTTGTGATGAAAAACTCTATATAAATGTTCGGAATTAATAATAATATCTGACAACAATGCAACATTGAGATGTGCCTGTTTATTTCTGGCACAAGTAACGTTGGAATGCTTTTCCAGTTGTTTCAAAATGGCTTTTCTTTTCTCACAAAAAAAGTCAGCTTTTTAATTTCAGACTTACATAAATAATGCAAACTATTGCTCTGGGAAGAGAAATTATACAGCAGGAATTAACTGCTAATTATAAAAACTCAGACTGAATTGTCCATCTGGGTTAAGAGTTCCATCTCATTGAGCTTCTGTAATTTACAGTAAAAGGTAATAATGCTGTTTTTGAACTTTGCTGTTATCTTTGTTTAATGATAGTGCCCAGTGCACCTAAACAAAAAATTGGTCATCTTTAAATAAAATCTGAAAATAATATTCACATAATGGAAACAGCGGAGTTAATGGATACATAAAAATAGAGTGACAGGAAATTGTTGAAATTTGAACTAATAATACTGCGTTTCTGAAGGGAAGTGTTTTAACCTTAATTCAGCTAGAATTTAGGACATGCTGTGAGTTGTCTAATTTTAGGAACTCTTTAATCAAAATAAATGTAGGCATGAAAGACCAAGACAGATGTAACATTTGCAATATAATAACAAAACATGAATATTTTCAATTTTTTTTGGTTTCTGTCAGATCTCTATTATAGTTTTCCTACAAGCTGCATCAAAAAAACAGAAGAGCCCATCTTCTGATGGAACAGGACCTTACTGTAAGTGTACTTTTTTCTATCTTTTGCAGGCAGACAACAGAAATAATAATAAGCCAATTTCTAGAACTGAAGAGTATCAATAAGATTGGTCAGCTTCAGATCGATTGTAAAACCAGAGCAATGAAAGAAACCATGTCAAGCGCGATGGGGAGATTTTTTTCAGTCCTCTGTCAAGGTCAAACTCTCATTTTCGGTCTATTGTCAAGATGTCTATCTGTTGAATTGAAAAACACAGCACACAGAAACCCACTGAATCTTTGCAGAGGCATGCATTTAAGTTCTCAGATTGTATAGTGAACTGTGTCATGTTACAAAGGCAGAAGTTTAGCACAACAGTTACCATGTTCTCTCCTTAAATATGAAATACTGTATATAGGGCAAAGTTAAAGCCAAGTGGGCTGGGAAAACATGATATCTATAAATCAACTAAATGAACTACATGTTTTCATTATTGCCATGCCAATGACCTTCTTTAAAACAGACCTGGGAAGAGGATGCTAACCTCAATACCCTTTTGATATTTCAATGAATCAAGAAGCTGGGCCTTTGAATATTTTAACAAATAGGAATTAAAAATGTGAAAACCCTGGAAATGGCACACTTGTCTTTTATAGTGATGTGACAACAGCGGCATGAATTCTGATGTTTACAGAAATGTTTTGTCTTCTTATGTAGAAGTAAATGCTCCCATAATTATTCAGCATCACTTCACATTGCAGCATGAGAATTCTCCAAAACATATGGTTTATGCAACATATACAGGGTTCTATCAGGTGAAAAAAGTGGGCTATCCTAGATTAGCCAAGTCTTAAATCCATCCATTTTCTAACTGGTTTATCCAATACAGCATCATCGGGGAGCTGGAGCTTATCCGTGTCTCATCCAGGATACAGGCTGGATGAGACACGAGTCCGTTGCAGGGCATACACAGACACAAACACACATGCACTCGCAACAGGGCCAGGGCCTTTTTCCAGAAGCCAATTAACCAACTATTATGTCCTTAGACTGTGGGAGAAAACCAGAGCAACTATAGGAAACCCATGCGGACATGGCAAAAACATGCAAACTCCATGCCTATAGCATCCCAGGAATTGAACCCAGGGACCCAGTGCTGTGTGGTAGCAATGCCAACCACTGCGCCATCGTGCCACCCTTAATTTTAAATCTTTTGAAGAGATATGAGCAAAAAACTGACTTTTATTCTCTGAAAGTGAATGTACTAAATCAATATGTGCCACTACATATTTAAGTATATGTAGCGGAGAGGTGGCTCT